CCAGTAGGGGGTGTGCAAGAGGCAGCTGATAGATGTTTCTCTATTCTCCCTTCCTCTCTGTAAAAAATCAATAAAATATATTAAAAATAAAAAAGAGGCGGTTTTCTCTGCAACAGCCCCACCCCGAGTCCTTCTTGCCTCCTGCGCTCGCTATGCTAGTCTTCACACCCTCCACCCCCCACCCCACCACTACCTGACGTCCGTCTGTGATTCTGCCTTTTCGGGATTTACCTCCCAAGAACTTCCGTGTCAGCAAAACAGGCCTGGACAGGCCTCTTTTTCATTTCGGACCAGGCGTTTTCATGGGTAGCTTATCCCAGTGGCCAGATAAGTTCCTATTGAACGAGGACAAAAAACAAACACACACGTTTTATCATTTATAAATGTTAAAGGCACGCCTTGAAATTAAATACCCATTGCATTTGGAAGTTATTTATGACATGTTCTTACAAGCGCATATCTTTTGAAAGTAGGATATTTGGTAAAACACTGTGTAATAGGGAATTCTCGTGATCCATCCGCAATGTTCTAAAGCCTTCGTGGTAGAGAATTTGGTTGAGCACACAACACCCCGATGGGGGACTATTATTATTTCTGTGTATTATCTCTACCAGGAAACGGACACACAGGGGTCTAATTGGCCCAGGTTCACACTGCTGACAAGTATTGGAACCAGGACTGAGCCCAGGTAGTCGGGTTCAGACCCATTCCCTCCTGCCCTCCTGGGTTCTTTTCTTTTTTTTTTTTTTTAACATTTAAGGAACCATATTCTTCTTTTTGTTGTTTGTGTTGGGTTTTTTATTTTTTAAATATACTTTTTTTCATTGATTTCAGAGAGGAAAGGAGAGAGAGAAACATCAATGATGAGAGAATCATTGACCGGCTGCCTCCTGCATGCTCCCTACTCGGGGGAATGGGATCAAGGCCGTGCAACCTGGGTATGTGCCCTTGGCCCAAATCGAACCCTTTAGCCGAGTGGTCGGCAAACTCATTAGTCAACAGAGCCAAACATCAACAGTACGATTGAAATTTCTTTTGAGAGCCACATTTTTTAAACTTAAACTATATAGGTAGGTACATTGTTATTAACTTCATTAGGGTACTCCTAAGGCTTAGGAAGAGCCACACTCAAGGGGCCAAAGAGCCGCATGTGGCTCGCGAGCCGCAGGTTGCTGACCACGGCTTTAGTCCATAGGCCGATGCTCTATCCACTGAGCCAAACCAGCTAGGGCCCAGTTTCTTTTTTTGAAGGCAGTACCCGGTGCCAAATAGATTCAGTTGGATCTTCTGGTGTGTGGTGCCGCCTGATTTGCCAGCTCCTTCCTCGCCTACTTTTTTGAGGTCTTCCACCTTCAGCATTGGGCCTCCCTCCACTGGGCATTGTCAGACCTTTTCGAACTTAATTCCCAGCCCTGGGCCCCATCCTGTGGTTGTCAGTCTCCCGGCATGCCAACTGAGAACCATCTAGCTCCCTGGTTTTGTTCCTTCTTTGATTGTGAACCGTCACTCCAACGGTTCAGCTGTGGGGCGACACCCGCTTAATAAACATACACCTTGGTCGGACTCCATAAAACATCTTCCTTCTCCAAAGCTTACACCCCCACACCCCTTCCCTTCAGAGAAGGCCCTTATCTGCTTCATTGGAACTTTATTCTCTATCGCACATGACAGCCATGACTTCTTCTGCCATATCCCGTGTCTTTAGCCATCACCCTTTTTTAAAAAAATGCATTTTTATTGATTTCAGAGAGGAAGGGAGAGGGAGAGAGAGACATCAAAGATGAGAAAGAATCATTGATGGGCTGCCTCCTGCATGCCTCCCATTGCGGGTAGAGCCTGCAACCCCGGCATGTGTCCTGACTGGGAATCGAACCGTGACCTCCTGGTTCATAGGTCTACACTCAACCGCTGAGCCACACCAGACAGGCTAGCCATCACTCTTTAAAGCTAGACTAGCTTTGTCCTAGATTAAAAGCACCTGACACCTGGCAGACCACATGCTATGCCCTCCACAGTTCCTTTTCGTGCTAAGTGATCTATCTGCCAGTGAACCGAGAGGAGATCCCTCCCTCCCCCAGTCCTGCTGGTTCCTGTTACTGCTGCGTCGTTCCCGGTGAAAAATGCAGAGCAGCGCCCTCAGCTTTGGCTTCCTTAGTGGAAAAGCCGCTGCGTGTGCTCTCAGTACGTCTGGCCCCGTGTCACTGTGTCCAAGGGAATATTTCTGGACGGATTCAAGGATCTGTTGACACTGATCATCTCCAAGGAGACCTCAGAGGGAGGTGGAGAATAGCCGTGGGTCTCAGAGCACTTTTCACTCTACACCCCTTGGGGGCTTTTTTGAACTATGTCAGCAGTTCTCAACCTGTGGGCCGCGACCCCTCTGGCGGTTGAACGACCCTTTCACAGGGGTCACCTAAGACCATCCTGCATATCAGATATTTACATGACGATTCATCACAGTAGCAACATGACAGTGATGAAGTAGCCACAAAAATAATGTTAGGAGACCTCAGAGGGAGGTGGAGAATAGCCGTGTAGAGCACTTTTCACTCTACACCCCTTGGGGACTTTTTTTGAACTATGTCAGCAATTCTCAACCTGTGGGTCGCGACCCCTTTGGCGGCCGAACGACCCTTTCACAGGGGTCGCCTAAGACCATCCTGCATATCAGATATTTATATGACGATTCATCACAGTAGCAACATGACAGTGATGAAGTAGCCACGAAAATAATGTTATGGTTGGGTCACAACATGAGGAACTGTATTGAAAGGGCCAGATGGTTGAGAACCACTGAACTATGTGAATATATTACCTTTTTTTTTTTTTAATGAAAGAGGGTAGAAAAGAAGTAAACTCAGATAATCTGCTAAACTGAAAGCTGACACTATTGGAAAGGAAACTAACGCTCCCCCCACCATACACATACACACCACTTTGTAATCATCCCTGTCAGCTGCATTTGTCCCCTTTTAACTTCTTTTTTTCTTGATGAAATAAAAGCCACACAACACTCAGTACCTCCAGGGATATAAGAGGAACCTGAAATGTCCCTGGTTGATGATAAGGATTCCTGGTACATAAAATGGGAGGCGGCGGGGGGGGCAAAAAATAAAATGGGGGAGCAGCTTGCACTCCTGTTGTGACACGGCCTCACACACTGCAGACCAGGGCTTCCTGCGGTTCTCCCTGCTTCCCCGCAGCTCCCCAGGCCCGTTCCCCCTTTTCTGCCCTTCTCTCCTCTGGTAGTAATTAAAGGAGGCAGAGAGAGACACAGGTCTGCCTTTCTCCCCGTTTCCCTTCCTTTGTATCCACCTTTGCCTGGGGTGGCTCCTTTAGAGAGCCAACCCCGCTCATCATAGAGGCTCAGTGATGACCTTGACTCTGAGTCCCCGAGATGCAGTTTTCAAATACAGGCCTTTGCAGATTCCTGCAGCTCTCCTCCTGCTCTCTGCAGCTTCTCTTGCTGCTCAGACTCTGAGTGACTTACACACAGACTGCCTTATTTCTGCCTGCACCCTGCTCCTTCACGAGTGGCAATCTCTTTTTCTTTTTTCCCAGGGTGCACCGCAAACAGGATTGAAGCTCATTTGATGCTCAAAATATGATCTCCAAGCACAGTTATGGAGCTTCTTCCATGTACCAGGTACTGTTCTAGAAACGTGAGATACTGCATGGACTGGGGTATCTATTCTTATGGAGCTTACATTTAAAAGTATATATATATATGTGTGTGTGTATGTATATATATATGTGTGTGTGTGTATGTATATTCATATATATACATCTATATACACACATATATATATTATTGATTTCAGAGAGGAAGGGAGAGGGAGAGAGAGAGAAACATCAATGATGAGAGAGAATCATTGACTGGCTCCCTGGAGCTTACATTCTAACGGGGCAGGAATCCACAAATCAGAAAATACCAGGTATGACAAGTGATGATGATGGAAGCCTCATTTCAGTTGAATGGGCAGGGAAGGCCTCTCTGAGGAGGCGACATTTAAGTCGAAGCAGGAAGGGCACAAAGGAGGCAGCTATGTGTATAGCCACACACAAGTTCCCAGAGAAGATGGCAGATGGCATGCACGCAACTCATTTTGCTCCGTTCCCAAATGCACTAAACATAGATTTTCTTCCTTTTTTTCCATAAGTCATAAACTCAGAAGGAAATGTTAACTTAAATCCCTCTATAATTTGAAATTTGATGTTCTTAGAGTAGTGCTGAATAATCATTTGTGCATTATCCAAGCTTTTGAGTTCTTTTTTAAAAATATATATATATTTTTATTGATTTTAGAGAGGAAGGGAGAGGGGGAGAGAGAGAGAAACATCAGTGATGAAAGAGAATCATCCATCTGCTGCCTCCTGCATGCCCCACATTGGGGAAGGAGTCCATAACCCAGGCCTGTGCCCTGACCGGGAATCGAACTGTGACCTGGTTCATAGGTTGATGCTCAACCACTGAGCTATGCTGGCCAGGCAAAGCCTGTGAGTCCTAATGTAATCTTTAGGCATCTCAGGAAAATGCACATTCTACATATACAGTCGTCATATAATTTTGGAGGTCCACAGACCCCATTCAAGGTAGGAGTACATCTTTTCTCATGTTTGGCCTGAGCATCTAAACTCAGATTTCCCTCTTGAAGCCATTCTGTTGTCCACTAGCCCACCTTTCGTTGGAAATGCTCTTTCCCATTTACTCAGAAACTCTATAACCTTATTAAATTTCACAAGGAGGTCGCCGAAACCTGTTTGGCTCAGTGGATAGGGCGTCGGCCTGTGGACTGAAGGGTCCTGGGTTCGATTCCGGTCAAGGGCATTTACCTGGGTTGCGGGCACATCCCCAGTGGGAGATGTGCAGGAGGCAGCTGATCGATGTTTCTCTCTCATCGATGTTTCTAACTCTCTATCTCTCTCCCCTCCTCTCTGTAAAAAATCAATAAAATATATATTAAAAAATAATATTCACAAGGAAATATAAGGGAACGTGTGCTTCCCAGCCAAGATGTGCTATCAGGAACTAGATTTGCATGTCCACACAAAACAAAGCAAAACAGACGAGGTACAAGAAACAAGGGTTTTTAAGACATTACATGTCAGGAGACAGTACAGGAAGCATGAGGTAAGCACTGCTGTTGCCCAGCTGACTTCCTGGAGTGTGTTTTCAGGTTTCACTTCTGCAGGGAGGGGGCAAAGGGGGAACTCGGGCACAGCCTGGCAGTCTCCCTGAATGGAGGAGTTGGACCTGGGAGTCCAGAGAAGGCGAGGTGGCTGGAGATAGCAGGACAGAGGACCAGAAGGAGGAGAACATGAGCCATGGGAGGGAAGAAAGTGAAGATCTTGACTTCATAAATATTAACAAGTCTCTTCTTTGAAATTGTTAGGAAAATGAAAAAAGCCACAAATTGGGACAGAGTATTTGTAAATCACACATCTGACACAGGACTTGTACCAGAATATGTAATGAATGCTGGACATTCAATAATAATAAATAAAGAACACAATTTTTTTTAATGGGCAAAAAATTTCAGAGGCAGTTAGTTGACCAAGGAAAATATACAGATGGCAAATAAGCACATGAAAAGAGACTCAATATCATTACTCTCAAAAATAATTTTGCCGGAGTGAAAAAAGCCAGACAAAAGAGTACATAATTTATTATTCCATTTATATGAAATTCTAGTAAATGCAAACTAATAGAAAAATGACTAATACTTTAGTGACCTGGGACTGGGAGAGAGGGTAGGGAGAGGTGGTAGTGATTTCAAAGGGCCCGAGGAAACTTTAAAAAGTAATAATG